CACAAAAGGTCCAGGGTTTAGTCCACAATATGAATCACTGGTCAGGTGTGGTAGCACACACCTTTGGTCCCAGTGCTTGGGAGGCAGAGGTAGGTGGATCTTTGAATTTGACATTACCCTGGTCTATACACTGAGTTCCATGCCAACCAGGGCTACATAGTGAGACCCGGTCTCAAAAAAAAGAGGGATGCAATTGGTCTAGATGAGGGTAGCTATGATGGAGGTGATGAGAAAGGGTCCAATATTCTTGACTTCCCTGTCACATATTAATTTAAAATTTTTCAATAGATGGGGCTGGAGAGACGGCTCAATGATTAAGAACACTGGCTGCTCTTGCAGATGACCTGGGTTCAGTTCCCAGCACCTACTTGGCTGCTAACAGTCATCCTTAACTCCAGTTTCAGGGGATCCAATGTCCTCTTCTGATCTCCATGGGCATTACATGCATGTATGTTCTTATGTGCATGCAGGCAAAACACTCATCCACATAAAATAAAAATAAGTTAAAAAGAAAAAATTATCATCAGGTGACTAAAGCTTTTCTTTTTAAAGAAATCTTGGCTAGAAAAATATTTTAAACACAGAGAACAAAGAACAGCAGTAACAGGACATCTTTGAGTTGAGTAATGTTCAACAACCCCCTTAGGAATCCATGTTATTTAACATTTCATAAATGATTTTAAAAAGGGATACTTTGAGACATTTTTAGGTCCACAAATTATCCTTTCCCTTCCAGGCAGTGAAATGTCAAATTGATAGGGAGCTAGATGCTAAGCCAGGCCTGCTGGGGCACGACTGTCATCCCAGCACTTGGGAGGTGGAGGGAGGAGGATCAGGAGTTCAAGGCCAGCCTCAGCTATAGGAGACCCTGCCTCAAAACAATAATGACAGAAATAGAGAGTCAGATGGTTAATCTCAGTTGTCAGCTTGATAAGATTTAGCATCACTGGAGCTGGAGAGATGGCTCAGCGGTTGAGAACACTGTTCTTGCAGAAGGCCCGGGTTTGAATCCCAGCACCCACATGGCAGCTAACAACTGTCCGTAACTCCAGTTCCAGGAGATCTGACAGCCTCTTCTGTCTTCCGCGGGCATTGCACAACACAGGTGCACTTACCTACATGCAGGCATAACACTCATACACATAAAATAAAAATAATAAAATATTAAAAAAAGATTTAGTATCACTGGCAAGAAGGGTCTCTGGGAATGCCTATGGGGGAATTATCTTGATTAGGTTAATTCAGGTGGGAAGACTCACTCTAACTCAAACATATACATATATGCATACATACATACAATACACACACAAGGTATCATCCTCAATCTATCTATCTATCTATCTATCTATCTATCTATCTATCTATCTATCTATCTATCTATCTCTCTCTCTCTCTCTCTCTATCTGTCTGTCTGTCTATCATCTGTTATCTATCATCTATCTATCTATCATCTGTTATCTATCTATCTCTCATCTATCTATCTATCTCTCATCATTAATCTGTCTATCGTCCATCTATCATCCAATCATCTATCCATTATCTATCTATCTATCTATCTATCTATCTATCTATCAATCATCTATCTATCCATCCCTCCACTCACCCTATCTACCTATCTGTCTATCTATGTATTTATCTATCATCTATCTATCTATCTATCTATCTTGGTAAGGGTCTTGCTACCAAGCTGGCCTTGAACTTCATCACTCTCCTTACCTCAGCCTCCCAGTGCTGGGACTAAAGGCGTGCACCGCCACACCCAGTGTGATATCAGCTCTCCAAAAGTTGGAAAGGCCAGCAAAAGTTCTGACCATCCAGAATAAAGATAAAAACATCAGTTTGAACAAAACCTCAGGATGTCCTTCTGTTGTAGAGTTCTACCCTCCAAGCCAAGCAACTACCATCTTCAGGAGTTCCACTGCACCTGCTTATCACAGCTGGGCTTGTTGACTGCTCACCTCCCTTCCCACTAATTACATGTGGTCTCAGGGACCCAGGGAGGGGACTAGAGTATATAGGCTGGGGAAGACTAGAGGGGACTCCATCTGCACAGCCATGGAGGAGTTCATCGTCCATACTGAATGAAGACTTTCCAGTGTGGCTGTTTTGGGGTCATCTGCTCCTGCCCAGAACCCCTTACCCATGCTCTGTAAGTAGGCATAATAAACTCATTGAACTTTGGTTTGTCACTGGACCCTTAGAAGGGGGGTGTATGTAGACATTGTTTAGTACCTCCTTCCCCAGGGAGAAAATTCTCTCAACACCTTCTTAGGGGCTGGTGTGCAGTATTTGGTTACTGCATCCTAAGAAAAAGAAGAGAAAGGCAGGTAAGGTGATTGAAAAGGTAGAGGGGGTTAGAAAGCTGGCTCAGTGGTTAAGAGCACTGGCTGCTTTTCCAGAGGACTTGGGTTCAGTTTTCAGCACTCATATGACTACTAACAACCATCTTCAATTCCAGGGGCTCTGATGCCCTCTTTGGCCTCCGTGAGCAGTGCATGCATGGGTGCACTTACATTCAGGGGAAACATTTGTAGATGTAAAATAAAAATAAATAAAAAGCCAGGGGTGGTGGCGCACGCCTGTAGTCCCAGCACTTGGGAGGCAGAGGCAGGCGGATCTCTGTGAGTTCAAGTCCAGCCTGGTCTATATAGTGAGTTCCAGGACAGCTGGGGCTACATACAGGGAGACCCTGCTTCAAAAAGACAAAAGAAAAAAAATTTTTTTAAAAGAAAGATTTTTTAAAAAAGGATAGAGGAACTTTAGTTTCATGGGTTAAATAGCCATAAAAAAGGTCAGATGCAAGTCTATAAAACCATGAAAGAATCAGAGACAGTAGAAACAGTCCCTTCATGTATGATTGATTGATTTTTTTTTTTTTTTTTTTTTGTCTTTTTGAAACAGAGTCTCCCTGAAGCCGTAGCTGGCCTGGAACTTACTACGTAGATTTGGCCTTGAAATTACAGAGATGTGCCTGTCTCTGCCTCCCAAGTGCTGGGATTAAAGGTAAGCACCACCACACCCAGCCCTGTCATTTTTTTAAAGACTGACTTTTGGGGCTGGAGAGATGGACCTGTTAAGAACACTAGTTGTTCTTGCAGAAGACCTGGGTTCGAATCCCAGCACCCACATGGCAGCTAACAACTGTCCTTAACTCCAGTTCCAGGGGAACCGACAACCTCTTCTGTCCTCCGTGGGCATTGCATGACACGGGTACACTTACCTACATGCAGACAATACACACATACACATAAAACGAAAATAATAAATAAAAAAAGTATTAAAAAAAAGACTGACTTTATATGTATCTCTCTTTGTCTAGTACGTGCACATGCATATGGCTACCCATGGAGGTCAGAAGAGGGTGTCAGATCTCATGGAGTTGGAGATACAGGTGGCTGTGAGCTGCTTGATATGGGTGCTGGGAATCAAACTGGGGTCCTCCACAAGAGCAGTACTCACTCTTGATCACTGAGTCACCTCTCTAGTCCTCTACACCTTAAAATTAGGAAGCAAAAGAGGCTTGAAAGTTGGGGTACTGTCTATATAGAAAGATATCATTGGAGAACATTTAAAAGAAGTCTTTCTAGCCAGGTGTGGTGGCACATGCCTTTAATTCCCCAGCACTCCAGAGGCAGAGGCAGGCAGATCTCTGTGAGTTTGAGGCCAGCCTGCTGTGCACAGTGAGTTTCAGGTCAGCTGGGGCTACAGGGAGACCCTGTCTCAAAAAGACCAAAAAAATTTTTTTTGAAAGGGGGTTCCTTAAGAATTCCCCAATATAGTGGGCCAGCAAGATGGTTCAATGAGCAAAAGCACTTGCTGCTAAGCCTGACAACCTGAGTTTGATCCCCTGAATCCACACGGTGGAAGGAGAGAACCGACTCCAGCAAGTTTTCCTCTGATCTGCACACATAGACTGTTGCACATGCATACTGATTCACTCCAAATAAATAAATACATAAATGTGATAAAAATAAAGAATTCTCCAATACGTAAAAGGAATGGATTGGCAATTGCTGAATGGATTGGGGGGTAACCAGCTCGTATTCACAGTCCTTTGTTGGAATAAAAACTACTTTGGACTAACCAGTACTGTCCATCTTCCCCCAAATCATCCTGGAACACAACCACAGAAACTCAAAAAGGAGAATCACTGGCATGATATCTAAAGATTTCAGCATGCTAATATTGGATCTCATTCTGAGTCAAAATTCAATTAAAAATCAGTCTGAAGATGAAAGATTTATAACAGGTTAATAAGGGAAGTTAAGGGTTTTGGGACGCAGGTACATCCTTCGTCTTTGTGATTGATATTTCTGGAATATCGTACATCTTCAGAAGAAATGGTACTTAGAAATCTGAATTGGGGAGATAAGCTAAGAACGTTTCCTAAGCATGACTTGTCAGTACCTGAGTTATCCTCATCAGAAAGTTAAGACCTAAAAGAGGGAGTCCATCACTTGAACTTGACAGCTCAAATCCCTTCATAGAGTTCAGTCAGCAGGAGAGAGAAAGATTCTGATGAATTAACTGCTACTCACTGTTTACAGTTGCCAACCGTGGCCTACGCCGCACCCATCTTCTTTCGAAGGAAAACTAAAGAGATTGGGGTCTTAACGGAAGACTGCCAGAGTTGGGTTCACAGCTATCACAAGAGCCCTTCCTTGTACATTAAAGATTTATTTGTATATAAATATGTTATGCTGTCTCCCTCCCCAAAATTAAGAGACCCAAAATCTCATCCCTTCAAAAAGAAAAATCTCTCTTCCTTCTCCCCAATAGCTCTTTTTCTTCTTTTACCTGGTTTTCTGCCTCCCCAGGTAAGAACTTTCAGCCCCGCCTTCTAGCTCTTCCAAGCTCCGCCTTCCTTGTCCACCTGTGTGCTCAGCCCCTGACGTAGGCGGGGGCTTCAGCGGCCCGTAGGATCCCGGATTCTGATTGGTCCATCTGTCCCCGGGCCTGCGCAGCCCACCAATGGCAACGGCGCTGGGCGGGGAGGGAGGGGGGTGCCCATATCCAAGATGGCGCCCCCAGGAGCTGGGAGCGGGTGACCCGCGGCGGGGAAGCGGCCTGAGCTGGCCGTCAGATTGCGGGGTCCCCGGGGGCCTGTCGCGGGGCGCCCCCGTGACCCTTCGACCAGGCCTTCCCCCCTGGCCGGAGCGATGGCCGCCGAGAACAGCAAGCAGTTTTGGAAGAGGAGCGCCAAGCTGCCGGGGAGGTGAGCCCAGGACGCCGGGAAGGGAGAGCGGGGATTGGACCAAAGCCTTCCGGAGCCTCATCTCTGAATCCCGCGGGCCTGGGGTTCCCCAGAGGCCCGAGGGCTGGGGTGGAGGGAGCCGGGGCTGGGGCATCCATCAAGCAGAGGGGCCGGGCTGCAGACTGGGGTCTGGGGGAGGGGGACCCCTGCTGGGAGGTGGCCCGGGGGCCAGGTGTGAGGGGCCGTGGAGTGGGGTGAGGAAGCCACTGGCAGCCTGGGCTTGGAGGGCCGCCCCCAGAGCTGCTTCCAGCACTCCGGCAGCATGGGTGGCCTCTTGCATGAAGATGGTCCCCTGGCCTTGGTCCACTCTCCCACCCCGCAGCTCAGCGCATTCCAGTCTTCCTCCTCCACTACCCAGGGGTTCTGGTGGTGTGTGAGCTGGAAGACTCGGGGATGAGGGGTATTCTCCAAGCCTGCCCTTACTTTGTCTTGAGTTGGTCCTTTCTTATTAGGAATTATTCCAAGATGACCAGAAGATGGGGCATTTTCCAAGCATTTGTCCAACCTGAAAGTCACCTCTTCCTCCCTGTGCAGTAATGTTCTTTTTGTGCAAATGCATTAAATTCTTTCATTCTTCAGTTTTGTTGGAGACCAGGCCTTCCGAGTGACTTACTGTTTATTTTTTCTTTCCCTTCTTGGTGTATGTTGACACTCTGAGCAATTGTCCTATCAATCTGCTGTTGGTTTACAGGTTGAGTTTGTTTTGGGTTGAGTCCTGGAAATCGAATGGAGTGTGTGTTTCAGTGTTAAATTTCAGATTTCTGCCAGCCACAGGCTACTTGGTGTTAGAAATCTGTGTTTGGTTATGTCCCACATGCCACCTTTCCTGATTTACTTAGGTCTTTACCTTCTGGGGTAATCTTTGGATCTCTGTCTCTCTTTCTGTCTCTGTCTCTGTCTCTGTCTCTCTCTGTCTCTGTCTCTGTCTCTCTCTGTCTAAATACTGAATCTAAGAGCACACATGTGAGGCATGCACCCTACCACTTAGCCACAGCCCTTGCCCTCTCTTGTCTCTCTCTGTCTGACTATCTCTGTCTCTCTGTCTCTCTCTTTAAGAGAGAAATGAGTCTGTAGTGCCTGTGGCACTTATTTAAGATCCTGTTAGAAGTATGGATCTACAGGGGGAACTGGCATTTAGCAATACATATTAAGGTAATACTAGGGAATGCAAAGGTAGCTCCAGACCAGAGTGCTGTAGTGTTATGGCGCGCACACACACAGTGTTGCACACACAGTGTTGCCGTGTTCTGTGTTTTTAGATTAGCACCACTTCCTGCCATCTGATTTCTTTTCCTTCCTGGCCTAGCGAGCTCTCCAGTTGTGCAAACGGCTGTTCTCTGGGATTTTCCATGGAGGGATCATCACATTTGGACATCCTTAGATTGTAATCAGTGGGAAAACTCCTAAATCAGGAAGCAGTAGCGGGGGTCAATGGGAAATGACATGGTCTTTGTGTCTTTGGACCACCAGGTGTGATGTATTAGTCTTAAAAAAAAGTTTTTTTTTGGATTATAGGAACTTTTTAAAAATACTACTTAAAAATTATATGTACTTACTTAATTGTATCACTGTGTGTATGGGTGGATGTGTGCATGTGACACACATGTGTAACAACTTGCAGGAGTCGGTTCTCTCGGGGTTCGAACTCAGGTCGTCAGGCTTGGTGGCAGGTGTCTTTACCTGCTGAGCCATTCCACAGGCCCAAAAGCACTACTTTTGGGACATAGGAAGAAGAGCCTTCAGTTTCTTCAAGTGTATAGAGTCATAGAAGCGAGAACTTTGGAGTCCAGAAAGATCTGGGTTTTTTTCAGATTCTTCTACCTGTGTGATTGACAATCTCTCTAGGCTTCAATTTCCTTAGCTATAAAATGAGGAGTAATAATCCTGTCCTCAGGGTTGCTGTGAAGATGAAATAGAATACCCTATTTGTAAAGAACCTAGGACAGTGATTATTTAGTATATTGTAGTTAATAAATAGTAATTATTAATATTGCTGTTATTATTAGAGTGAGTACACATTTAAAAGAATGTTTCTGAGATCCTACCCCAGTACTGGTTATTTGTCTTGCTTAATGTTAAGTCATTAAAGTGTTGCCACTGTTCATAATAAAGCTGTGTGCTCTTAGTAAAGAAGCCCCAGGGGCCCCAATGTGCGGGAGAATGCTGAGGTTCTTTTTGACAGAAAGTGCTTTGGTTCAAGAACAGATCTTTTGATAGCTGGGCATGGTAGTGCACACCTTTAAACCCAGCACTCGGGAGGCAGAGGCAGGGGGATCTCTGTGAGTTCGAAGCCAGTCTCAGCTTCATAGCGAATCCAGGCCAGCTGTGACTACAGGGAGACCCTGTCTCAAAAAGACACCAACCCCCCCCCAAAAAAAGGATAGAACTTTTGGGGCTGGAAAGGTGGCTCAGCAGTTAAGAGCACTGACTGTTCTTGCAGAGAATCCAGGTTCAATTCCCAGCACACACATGGTGGTTAACGTCTGTAACTCCAGTTCCAGGGGATTTGACACCTTCTTCTGACATCTGTGGGTGGGCATTACATGACATGTGTGCACTTATATACGTGGAAGCAGTACCCTCATACACATAAAATTAAAAATAAAAACAAAAGAATAGAACTTTTACATCTGAACTCTTTGAAGACCAACTTTTTTTCTGGGTTGGCAGGTGCCACAAATGAGCACAATTGACCAGGACTAGGAGTGAAACTAGAACTCACAGAGATACACCTGCCTCTGCCTCAGAGTGCTAGGATTAAAGGTGTGCACCACCACGCCTGGCTTTTATTTATTTATTTATTATTTATTTATATTTATTTAATTTTTGTGTATGAGTCTTGACTGCATGTATGCCTGTGCACCGGCGCGCATGCCTGGTGCCTACAGAGACCTGAAGAGGGCGTTGGAGCCCCTGGAACTGGAGTTCTGGACAGTTGTTATCTGCCATGTGGGTGCTGGGAACAGAACACCAGTCCTCTGCAAGAGCAGCCAGTGCTGTTAACCGCTGAGCCATCTCTCTCCAGGAGGCCTGGTTTTCTCTTCTTAGAAGATTGAAAGCTGAGAAAGAAAAAAAGAATCAAGCCATGGCATTCTGCTATCAGTTTCTTTGATCGTGATGGAGCTACTTTAGTGAGAATAGAAATTTTATTAAACAAAATAGCCCAAAGTTCAAAAACAAATGAAGCATTCTTTTTAAAAAGTAATGTTTTGGGATATAATTCACATACCATAAAATTCATTGTTTTAAAGTGTACAGTTCAGCAGCATTTAGTATTCTTATCTTGAGGTAGATGGTGTTGTCTGATTTCAGGTTTGTCTAATTTCAGGATTAAAAATTTCTTTTATAAATTATTTAAAATTATGTATGGTGCATATCTGTGTATAGGTATGTGCACATGCATGCAGTGCCTGTGGAGGCCAGAAGAGGGCATCAGATCCCTAAACCTGGAATTACAGGAGATTGTGAGCTGCCTGATGTGGGGTCCTCTGCAAGAGCAGTGTGTGCTCTTAACCTCCCAGCCATCTCTCTAGTCCCTCAGTCACTTCCTGTTGCCTCCCTCCTCAGAGCCTGGCAACTCATCTCCTTTAATGTTTCTGGATTTACCTATTCTGAACATCTCTTACCGTAGAGTGATCTGCTAAGGAGCCCTTTTGTGATTTGCTTCTTTTACTAAGCACAAGATTTTCAGGCTCATCCATGTTGTAGCATGTGTCAGTATTGTTCTTCCCTTTTATGACTGAGTAATATTTCATGGTGTAGAAAACTTTTGTTTATCACACATTTTTTTTTTTTTAAATCCACTCATCAGTTGATGGATTTGGATTGTTTCCTGATTTCTTTGCTTCTAGGAACACGCATACACAAGTTTTTGTAGGGGCGTGTTTTCTGGTTCTTTTGTGTCTATGTAGGACCAGGATTGCTGGGTCATGTTGTTAACATGGTGCAAATAAACATCTTTTCAAGTTGTGCAGTTCATAAGAGTCCCATGTGCTTAGTAGATCAAATGGTCATTGTATTGATTTGTAGGAAGATTGGCAGTATGTAGTAGCATTGTGATTAGGAGTACAGGCTCTGACTGCCTGGGTTCAAATCCAAGTTCTGCCTTCTCCTAGTTGATGTGGAAGTCAGTCAGCGCCTGCATGCCTTCGCCTCTTCGTCTGTAAACCAGGGTTATGGTGGATCTAAGAGGATGAAGTAACACCTAACAGGTGGTAAGGAAACACTCGGTAATGCCAGCTACGGGAGGGACAGTAGTTACCACGGTAGTTCAAGGTCTGTGTTTGTCCTATGTTTTAGTTTCTGCAAGTGGAATTGAGAAGCTCTGATCAGTGGTGCGTCTGGAGGCCCAGGGGAGCCCTGGGCAGAGGTGACCAGATCACCACCACCTGTTGTTAACTAGGCACAGGGTTGATGGAGACACAGAAGCCTTCGGGAGGACAGCCAGGGCTGCGGTGTTGCCCTGAAGAGGACAGTTAGGTAGGACTCTCAAATTCCAGCAGGTCATGTGGAGGGCTCAGCAAGTTCCCCTGCCCGCCCCTGCCTCCAGCGCCTCTGGCCCACTAGGCCTGTGGGGCTGAGGAAGGTGTTTCTTAGTTTTTGGGGTTTTTTTTTCCTGTAAAGCTTAAAATTTTTTTATTTTGCCAGGTGTGGTGGTACATGCCTTTAATCCCAGTGTTCATTCTCCGTGAGATGGAGGCCAGCCTGGTCTATATAGTGAGTTCCAGGCCAGCCAGCTGGGGCTACAGGGAGACCCCGTCCTCCCCCCAAAAAAAAACAAAACAAAAAAAGAAATTTTCTTTTATTTATTATTCCTGTGGGTGTGAGTGTGGAGGGTGCTTTGGCAGCTTGCTCCAGTCTTGGTGAGTGGGTTTCTCTCCTTCCATTGTGGGATCTGTTGATTGAACTCAGGTCATCAGGCTTACACAGCAAGTGCCTTTACCCTCTGAGTCATCTCACTT